TTTCTGGTGATGTGTGGGTCGACAATTTGGGCGGTGGTGTCGGCGGCGGGGATGCTGTACTGGTGGTGGAGCAGTCTCTAGGTTTGGTTTTGGGATTGGGGGTGGGGAAGGTGGGGGTGGTTTTGGTTTTTAAATTTTTTGTTTAATTATTTTATTTTATTTTAATTGTTTTATTATTTAAAATATAAATTTACTATTTTAACCTTTTAAAATTGGTCAAGATTCGGTCAATCTTTTGACTATTGGTCAGCAAATGGTCATTCCATCCATTTGGACCCTACCTGTATATTGTTGAAATGTTATGAACCTTCGTTGGCACAAATTAAAAGTTAGGGTAAAGTTTACAAAAAATGTGAAGGTTAGGGACTGATGCTACAATTTTTCCTAAATCTTTTAAAAACTTGAAATTAAAGTCAAATGAAAAGTATTTTAAAAAATCATAAACTAAAATCAATTAAAAAGATTTTTTTAAAAAAAAATTAATAAAGCATATCTAAAGAAGACGAAATAGAGGAAGGAAAAAATACAGCCATTTATGAATTGAAAAAAAAAAAAAAGGCCTAACATTTTGCCTGAGTTTCGAGCCAAGGCGAGCTTTTTAAAACACCGATCCAATGTATTTACATTTTTAATAAAAAATAATATAATAATTTTAAGGGAAACTAGTGAAAATAAAAGAGGAAAAAATAATAAATGTTTTTTGAGTGTAATAAAATTAAGTGTTAATTATAAAGAACTTGTTGGAGTAGTTAAAAAATTTTACTTTCTAAATTGTAAAATGTATTCTTTAAAAATAGAGAATCTTTTAGAGATGTACTAAGATAAATAAATCTCAAGAATAATATGACAATAAAATATACATGTAACATAATATTCTCGATGTAATATTTTGTTTTAATTTTTTAATTTGGTTTTACGTGATATTGACGTAGCCGGTACACATGTATATCCATCAGCTTCAAAGAGTTGTCAAACTGGACCAGCACTAATGGGAAAATTGCAACAATTTGTTTGATGAGTGAACTGTTTCAAAAATTATTGAACTTATACCATGGTGACGGGTTGCTCACCAAACTGTATTCTTTTCACAATACTCAATCAACTTTACCCACTACATCCATCACCCTGAAAAATTTGTGTAGTTAGTAGCTGGCATGACATGTGAAATTCTGATGTGGTATCTAACATTTGTTAAATTTGAACAAAAATGACGTCTTTAGCACAATCAACATTAAAAAAATAATAATAAATAAATAACTCAAAAACCTTTTTTCATTTAAATTTACTTGTGATTTAAATTTTTTTTCTCAACTATGACATCTCTAGAATCATCTTCTACACAATCTTCACTGTTCTCGCCATAACAAATGCTACATTGCAACAAATTCAAAATTCATTAGCCAAGAACTCGGTTGCAGGGTCCTCAAACTTAGTCCATATCAACTCCAACTCAGTTCTTGTTCTCGTGGAAAAATCATTTTTTTCTGTAAATCCTCGAAAAGGTAAGTGTTGGAAAATGTTTGCTGATTTTGAAGAGGCCCAATTATATGCTGCTACTCTTGCCCAAAATTTTGGCCCAAGTAACTGGTCTAACAAATTAGAAGAATTTGGAATTGTGAACTATATATAACTTCAAGGGTTTCCCTGCAATTATTAGATAGACTTTTGACTTTAGATTTTAAGAGATATTTTCTCTTAGTTCACGTGTCGCTGCCTTCGTCTTTTTATTTTTCTCTCATAGAGCAGTGCTCTTTTTT